CTTTTCGGACGGAAATGTCAAGCCCGAAAGATCACTGAGTTCGGTATTGCGCATGTGCTAGCTTGCTGAGCACGCGCTGTGGCAGTGTGGCGTGCTGGGCGGCATGCCTGTGACCCTGCGGTGCTTTGGGTGCGGAGTTCTACTGACGTGACGACCTTGAATCGGATCGAATGTTCAGCCCAGTACGTTGTCCCTTCAAACTTTGCTTCTGTTTTTGATACTCTGCCACACGCTGCGGGCTATACGCTAACACGGAATTAGTTTTTGATGGAAAGCAAGTGAAATTACACAAATGAAAAAGGTTAAGAAAGGGACGAATGCGCAACGAAAATTGTGAAAGTGCGAGGCACACATCGCGGCATGCATGCATTGCGCATGCGTGGTGACACATTTTGCTAGCCCGTAGTTCAGCAGCTGTTTAGGCCTATTGTGCATGCTATGCACGTTAAAAATTTCACATCAGCTACACGAAAAAACGTATTTCTTTGTTCATCAGACCGCAAAAGTTTCGCGTCACTCGTGCACGGACGGATGTTGACAGGTCAAATTGCCGGATCAGATCCACCTTTTGCATTCCCATCTGATCGTGATCCGCCAATTGCAGGATCAGATCCACCAATTGGGGGATCTGTATCCTGCTCCAGAGGAGGATCAAGACAGGTGGATCTGATCCTGATCCACCTCATAACGGTTAGCGTTCCCACTACACACAATTGCCAGGTCTGATCCACCAATTGGGGGATCTAATCCGGCAATTGGGCAAAAGGTGGATCAGATCCCCCAATTGGTGGATCAAGTGGGAACAGGCTGTTATTTTCTTTAGCAGGTGAAGTATCCAAATGAGTTTTTGACTGATGTTTTTAAAGCCTAGAGTCATTGTGTTCAGTTTCGTGCCCCTTCTCAAGGGCAGGATATGCTTGAAAATGTTTTGTGGTACAACCATAGAATTAAGCACTGGGCTAAAAAGGAGTTAATTTCGTAGGTGACCTGCTTGATAGTGAAACTTCTTCAGCCTAGATAACTTTATGCTAAAAATTGACATCAGAACCAACCTTTTGGAATACGGCAGCGTTATTAATACTGTAAGAAAATCATTTCATATCACATTGTCACGGGTCAACTCCCCTAATTCCTTTTAATTCCTTTTAATTTGATATAAAGGGCTGTACTCGTCTTTATCATGTTCTTACCTCTGCATTGAAGGTTGTCTGTAGGTTATTTAGATGGGAAAAGGTGCTGGCTTGTAATCTTCCTCTCTCTGAATGGTTTGAGTTATGCAGTTTGCCCTTTCAGCTAACATGTGATACTAACATTAATTGCAGCGATGGTTTCAATATAGACTTACTCAATGAATCTTGGCTGTTAACTCTTATTTGTTTGAAATTGGTAAAAGATATAATGACCTGTGTTCTTTTTGTCAAGCTGAGAGTGAAACCTTGATGCATCTCGTTTGTACTTGTGAGTTTTCCACTTCTTTTTGGAATTAGATCGGAGATTGGCTTAAAAATACCCTGAACAGTGATATACTTTGGATAACAAAGCTATCTTTTTTGCAATTTCTAATAACTCCAGGAATGTATTCAATTTATTTATCTTGCTTTGTCGCTTCCATAGTTATAAGATGAAAATGGACGGCGGTAAACCATCATTTTTATTGTTTAAAGACGATTTTAAAAGATATTGTGCCTTAGAAAGATTTATTTCTACCTCTAACGGAAATTCAGTACCAAACGGGGCTGTTTTTCTTGCTGGGTAATTGATTAATGTCTAATGTGAAATGACTGTGTATTGACTTCTCTTTTTTTGTTAAATTTAATGTAATACACAAGAGAAACTTGAATAAAAGGCCCTGAGTGGGGGGGGGGGGAAACTCTCCCGGCACACTCTAATAACAGCAGCAAATGAGAAGAGAGATAGTACTTCCTGTTTGGAGTATGTGGTAGTACCTAGCAGATGCTTTTGTAAGGGGGATTCATGGTCACATGCAAAGAACTGGGACATTTGATTCTGAAGATTAAAATGTCCCTGAAAAATGGGCTTTTTGAATTACGTTTAAATTCTTGCTGCATTCTCTTGAATACATAGACCTGGAGGTACCTTTATATTGACTGGGAATGGTTCTATGTTGATTTTCCTGATGAATTTATAAACGATGGTGTACTGATGTATGGTAAGGAAAGATATTTTACCACAATTACGACCTCTGTCCCTCCATCTGAAAACAAACTGGTCTTTCCCCTTGAAATCGAGGTTTACAGACAAATTCCTTCAAATGTTGTCCGTAAAAAGGCGCAGGTAGCCGCCTTAGACGAAGTACCGCTTTTTCTGGTGGTCTACCACCAGAAAAAGCTGAACCGTCATTGGTACAGAAGACGGACGAGAAAATTCCGTCTCCATGTAAAAGCATGTTCCCGTCACCAGGCTGCAATGCCATGTCGAGACCCTGTCATCGTGTGGGCACCGCGTTTCGCTGTGGCATGTCACGGTAGGGGATGACAGACCCCTTGGGCTTAGCAAGGTGGGCTGCCTCCCATGGCTGATAAGCCCCACCTAACCAGAGCAATCTTGTTTTCGAGGAGCCAGAAACTCGCCTTTCACACGACTGCATACTGCCAAGCAGGAGGGCTTTGATTAGGAGAGGCTGTTGGAGACTCAAGTCACGGGAACACTTCAATGACAGACAATGGTTCATTTTTCCTTCCAGTCCCTGACCGGCAAAACCGTTTGACCTCCAAAGCAGTGAACGCAAAACATGAGAAAAGTCCATTGAATGATAGCCAAAGGAAACTACAAATACCAATATGGCAAATTTAAATTGAACAATTACGACGTATTTTGGTATATGTCACCCTTAAGATCATTGCATTTCTTTATGAAATTAAAGTTTGATAGGACGTTTGACATTCACAAAGGTTTTTACAGCGAATATCTCATTTTTAAGGGGGATATTGGACTTTCACCCAGCCAGTTCGATTATATGCGGACCTTCAAATTTGTTGTGACCGAATACCTGTCACATCCATGTCCAGCTGACACAGCCAGGTGTTGCGTGGTCGGCTTCTCAAAATCCCCTTCAAGCGAGATATTATTTATTCGAACCTACTTTACAATCAACAAAGATTTCTTTGAGAGGGACATTTTTTTGCAGTTTTAAAATAAAATATAGGTTAGTCATTGAATGGAAAATGCTGGCATCATCGATCATAACAGCATTTTTACAATCAATATGATTTCCAGATGTTCGTTCAGAGCCCAAAACCTTACACATGCTATTGATTAAAATTTTTTGGTACTATTTATTTCATTTACGTGTTAATATGAGGCGACATATTGATGAATAATTCTAAACAACTGGATGCAAACAATGCACTGATGCAAACAACTTTGAAAGGAAGCAAAAGGTTATCCACGCTGAATTGCGTATAAGATAAAATAAAAAAAAGAAAGAAACGTGGAAAAATCTCGGAGAACGCATTTTATGCTTCCGATAACTGTGTCACACTCCCTTCAGGTTTTCATTTTCACATTTGTCTTTCCAATTCTAAAGTAAAACAAAGTAATGATTTCCAAAGGACCCAGTTTCTGCTATCTGGCATAGTCATAATGGAACAGTTTTAAAAAGTGTCAAAGGATGTAATAATGTGACCCTCAACTCACGCTAAGTTTTGTACCCTTCTTATCTGCGTGAATTATGTTAATATAATTTTTCAAACTCACAAAGGGCTGACAAAAACTTTTACATAATATTCAATTTCAATGCAGCTAATCTAACCTTTTTTTGTCAATTTACCCCTAAGACAGCCAAAATGCAGAATCTGTCACCCCCACAACATTAACTTCTATATAACCCCACCGTATTTCGTTCACTATACTATACGAATTTTTCCAAGACAGGTCACCCCAAAATGTTTACTTTCCACTGGCATGCGCTCACTGGGATCGAGCAGATGCGAGTGAGAGCATGAGTTATTAATGACAACAAAATTAGCCAAAACCGATGTGTGGATCATAAGAATAAGGCAGTATACTCACAAGGAATGTTTTTGAAAGCTTTGTCAAGTTTTTTAAAGGTCAGGCAAAGGACAACTGTGATCTGTGTGAGAGAAAAAAACAGCTCTTTCTAGGTTAACTGCCTTCTACTTTTATTTGCCAAAGCATACAAATCGAATGCCCATTTTAGAGGAGTGCGCGTGCGCATTACGTCTGTGCTGCTTAGCAGTAATAGTGTAGTTGAGTTATAATTTGTCTGTGTTTTGATGTTGGGCTATCCCACTTTTCGTGGGAAGGGTATTTGGACTTGCAGTCAACAGAAGGTAGTGCAGTTTATTCAGAGCTGTTTGTACTGTCAAACCTGAAACTCTGCCAAAGATCGCACCACACTTGTGAGATGTGTCTAGACGTACATGTGTTAAAATATCCCAATTAAATATTAAATATACGTGCCATCACAGAGGTATATTGATTTTTAATTCGGAGCACAGGGTGAATAAGGATTAAATTCTGTTGGTATAATGAAACTGTTTTCAAGATGTGTTTTGCGTTTTTCGCAAGCTCTCGGACAAGCGCTGATCATACAGTGTTTAAATATGTTGGGTAAGGGCAAAACCCGTTATTTAAAATAATGAACCTGCATAGTTATTGCAAGATTGATAAAAAAGGAGCAATACAGAAAACCTGCAGTAGCATTTATTAAGCTGGTAATTTCTTTTTTCAAGATGAGAGGTGAGTTTCTATTGCCTGTAATTCTTATTAGCTAATAGCAGTATTATGTTTGTGCAAGCAGATTCAGAATAACGACTATATTTTGGTCTAATTTTGGTTAAATTTAGTTTAAAATGATTCAAATAATCAGGGATATCATTAATACGCTCGCCAGATCTATAATCCCGGTCGGCAAAGATTTTAAACAGTTCCTGCGCCCCTCCCCCTCTGAAAAAAAATGGACGTGACGAGTCACGTGATCGACCTTCATTGCAAATTCTGAGCGGCTACAAAAAAACCTGCGCTGAGTGCATCAGGCAACCATTTGGTATTTGTTGCAGGCGTGCAAAGGCAGTCTTTTAGCCAATTTGTTCGAAACGTTGCTCAGAAGAAAACCTTAACAGCGTAATGCGATTTATGTTCCTGCGTTTTGACATGACAGTCTCTGTATTTTATATCTAATAGTCATTGCTAGTCAAGTTTTATATGATTATTGCGCGCAGTGAACTTTCCAAAAATGTCAGTCTTTTGCAGAAATGCTTGATATCAGCATGATATCCTTTATAAAATAGTTCAAATGTATTTTGAAATTCATGTATTGTGATTGTCAAAAGACCTAATTTATTTCATTTTTTTTTCTCTTGATGTAGGTTAGCTTTATCCATTAAGTGGACAGAACAAGCAACATGATGACGGCATCCAAGATTCTACTTGTGCTGGCTGCAATAGTCGCAATGGTCGCCGCAGGTATTGAATATCCATCGTTAGTTTTAAAAGGAACTATGTGAACTTTATCTCTCCTCATCTAAATGACTGAGAATCGGATATCAGCCCAATGTATGAATTGATTGTCAGAAATTATACGTGGTAGGCACAGAATGAAAAGTACTACCCAATATGCAAATAATGCTGCCCAAGTGCGAATAACTCAAGAGATAACACATATATTCCATTGCCAGAGGCAAAGTTGAATAGCCCCGCTAAATTTGACCTTTAATTGTATGCAATTTTTAGAAATGAAAAAGGATGGATCTCCAGACAAAAATGAATCCCCGAAAATTCATTTCAAAACCGAGTTGGCATAATCTGCTAGATCCATGTCTGTCTGTGTCAGGGGTATTCCCTGTCATAGTGAGTGGCATTTGCCACTCGAGTTCAGAACACGGCTACTGGTGTGGGAATGTCCAAATACTGATATGCTGTGGAGCCAATTCAATTGTCTAATCCTGTCAAAGCAAACCTACAATCAGTTTTTGCCTGTGACTACCATTTTTCTCTGATTTCCAGCCAAGTATGGTGAATGCCCTGAAGGGTTGGCTGGTATTTGTGTTGAAGGCTGTTCAACTGACAGCGATTGTGAGGGGGAGGAGAAGTGTTGCTTCAATGGTTGTGGTAAAGTCTGCGTGGAACGTAAGTGAAAATGGCTTCAAGTGGAGCAAAATATGGACAACTAAAAAAAGGGGATTTATTTTTGTTCACTTCAAGAATTCGGGAGGAGGAGCTACCGTGCCTGTTTACGTGGTAAGCAGCCGTATAAATAACTGAACTATTCGAGACAGTCAGCGTTGGAAACAGGAATATTAAAAATCAAAATGATAAACATCAGAAATCGTAAAATGTTGATCAATCTACACTGTTAACAAATATCTGTTAAATAACAGCAGATTCTATTGTCAGCTGCCATTACAGAAGTTGCTTTTTTTGGGACAGCACATTCCATCGTCAATTTTTCTGTGTATACTATCAGGAGATTCGTCTGTTGTACTACTATTATTAGAAAAAGTACACGGTTGTCGGGTTTTAAAACAATTGTGTTTGTCAGTGGAGGGTATTTCTTTAATAAAAAGTAACTAAAGATTTCTTATCAGCAACTTTTGAATTCTGCGTGCATCAATATGCGGATGCTTTACGTATGTCTGTCCTCAGTTCTCATTGGCTGTATGCAGCCTGATGCTACTGTGTATTAACAGAAAAAGCACAGACGGCTTGCTTATTATAACATGTTCCAGGACAGAACTTTAATTTAGCGAGGATCTGTCTGTAACCGAACAGAGAGGAACAGAGCAGAAAAATGTGTGACGAGTGGAATATTTTGTTTATTTAGAGAATATTACGAAAGCCGTAATATCTACTGTCTTTCACTGAAATTTTCAACAGAAAAACAAGTTTTCAGTTACTCAATTTCTGTGCAGTGTATTGTCAGTTAATTCAATTTTATTAATAAATTGATCAAACAGCCTTTTTATTGTAGACTTTGCATTACAGAAGAATTTCAGCCCTTCAGGGAGACGTTATTAAGACATGGTCAATCACAATCTTAAAAATGAGTTTATGCTGCGTTTTTAAAATGCTTATTTCATTTTTCTGAATTCTGCTTCCTTAGCTTGCGAACCACCACTCTGCCTAATGTACTGTAAGAACGGATTTAAGAGGAACAAGGTGGGATGCAGGATTTGCCAATGCGAGGGTAATGATGTGACTTCTTGCCCCTTTCCACCCCATTAGTCAAAATCAAACAAAACACAAACAAACCAACACCCCGACAAAAATATTAATAAATAAACAAACAAACAAACAAACACCCAAACAAACAAACAAACTCCACTTCACTTCTAATGTTTGTCTTGACCAAAATGTGTAGGTCACCCACCAACACGCCGACCCCTTCACTGCATTTTGTTTGGTCCTATCGATTGTTGGCGCACATTAGGCTACATTCTCAATGCCTGAGGGTGCATTTAGTTACCTGCCGTATGCCAGTCACCCGGCTTATATTCGCTCGGTAAATGCCACATAAGTTTCTCTACATAGCGGAAATTGTTGACGGGGCAGCTGGAGTTTTCTTTTCCCAAACAGTTTTAGTTTCCTGTCTTCGGATTGGTCGGTTACGTGCATATTTAATGATTGGTTCTCTACATGACAAACCAACATTATGATGAGAATGTTCCGTTCTCATATGTTTGTACAAGTTTTTAAAAAGAACTGTAAAACGAAAGAGAGAATTCGAACCTGCGATTTCAAGTTAGGAGTACTTCCAACCAATCCACACATTGGCTGCCAAACTCCGGTGAATTTGAAACCTTTATACCAAAGATCGTATGGCGCCACTGCGCATGCGGCGCTATACCGTCTTTGTTTTATACCTTATCCACCCCGAGCTGAAGTGCACCCCCAATCGGCAGAAAGACAGGTGGTTACAAGCGAGTACTTGTACGCGTTCTGCATGTGCACAGAGACCATACATGCCGCAATCCGGTTCGTGAGTGACTTTGTCACAAAGGCAAACGCGTCACGATTTGCAGGCTCTCATCGGATAATCGCTGAAGGTGCGCGTTAACTTCCGGTTCCATTGTTCCATGTAAAACAAAGATAGCATAGCGGCGCTGCTGCGCAGCGCTAAACTATCTTTGATGTAAACGGCGATCAATGCATGTAACCCTATAAGCCGTGCACGTGTGCAGTGGGCGTGGTTTAAACTGAAGTGACGCACGAACACTTACGAACCGGATAAAATTAGTTACACGTACTCAGCGTGCTCTGCGTCAAACGCACATTATACTTGCGCACCTCAGGGTGCATACCACCAAATGGTTGTATTTCTACGTGCGAGCTCATTAATATTTTGTGATCCCACGGGGTTTTTACAATAAGACATGCCATAATCAGGAGGCACCATAGAAATACTTTTATAAATCTCGAATTTGGGACTGATAGTTTCCCGTTCGGGGTATTTCTTTCACAAAAAGTCCAAAATTGCGGGCCTGTTTTGGATAGGGGCAGGCGGCTACATTCAGTAATGAGCGCTTAGTTTTACTGCCATTTTGGGGGTATCTTCCTTGAAAGCAAAACAAAAAAGATTTCGTGGCTAACCCCCATGAAATCGAAACGAAAAGTGATCTTCTGGCCATAATCGTGAATTTTAAGTTCCAGTAAAAAAAGCAGGGGCCAACCTCTTCACGAGAGTCAACAGGCGGCGCTATTTCGATCCAATTTTTCACTGTTTTCTATGGGTGCGTATTTGGTGTAGTGCAACCCTCACGGCGCGCCTATGCGGTGAGTACAAAAGAACCACGCACTCTTTTGTTCCGCTCGAAGCGGACTATATAGCCACTTCTTAAACCCGTGGACAAAATTATGCATAAGCACAGAGGGCGCCCTTTTTCGAAACTATTGGATCCAGTTTGGGAAAATATATGCGGGCCAGCTTGAACAGAAGAACTTGTTACTGGAAGTATTTTCCGCCAGGTGGCCCATACATGTAGACACAGCCCTGGTATACGTTCTGTCACTCCTATATTGTTGTATTGTTATACATTGTGTCTTTTGAGGGCTGAGATCGCGTCACGTGATACATGTATTGAGAAAAACATTAGTGGGGATATCTCTAATGTTTTTGCCCTCAGAATAAACAAAGAGAGAATGAGGCACACATGGCTGCAGTCGTTACATTGGTAAGTGCTTTAAAATACTTGTCAAAATGGTCATCTTCGGTGGTCATTTTTTTTTAATTGGTTGAATAAATTAATATTTGTCTAACACAGAGACGTATAGTGAGCCTCTTGATGTCACATGTCTCCCCACCTTTTATGTCTCTGAATTGGATATTATGGGCATACTTGATTCAATTAATTCAGACCTGTGAGCCGATTGTAACCGATGTATAGAGGGATCCCAATACGACGCTTTTAGCGTCGATCTGCGCACTTCCGCGTTTGAAAACGAGGCTGTATGTGTCTGCTTCAGTTCTTAATACGATCAGACGATTGGAAGTAAGGAGTCAGGACACAAAATATATAAAGGTATGTTAAATTCAGACTTTTCAGGCTGCAGAATTTTGTGGAAGAGTCTTTCAGGATGACTCAACACGTACAATCAAAAGAAAAAATAACAACAATTGACCGCGCACTAACGTACCTGCGATGGTCGTGTGTCTTGTGCAGTGGGCGTGGTTTAAACTGAAGTGGCGTCACACTTACGAACCGGATACTCCATGTACTCCGCGGGCGTGCGCGACGAAGTTGAACACAGAGAGCCTCAGTTTCGATGCAGATATGCGCAGACGGCGCTAATGTGAAATCTCCCTATACAAATTACAAGTCCCACACGTTCCACTATAGGTTAGACCTTTTGAAAGTATATCAGAACTAACGCATATAGGATAACTCGTCAAAATCTTAAAAACGTTCCCCCTTACAGATTCAGTGAGCCTTGCAGACACCCGAAGGACGAACAACTTAATGGACAGGAATCTTCAAGTTTAATGTTGTTTCGTTGCCTATGTTTCATTGAATTTTTCAAAGGGAGTTGTATTTAGCAAGCATGAACAATAGACATTTTGTCTGCAGTATCAGTTTTATTTGGTTCAAGGCTCAGCTATTCTTTTGGTAAACTCTTTGAATATGTATTTTCAAGGCAGATTCTGTAGCCAGATTTTAATTCGGTGAATATTTAACTGTAGACGGCTGTCATGCCTACAGTCATGGGAGACTGAAAATGCAGACTGGCTTTGGATAAGGCCATTTAAAATTTATTTTAGATTCACATCGAAGCCTGCTCTGGATGAAGGGATTTTTGTTATTCTTACTGCTGTTATTTTCATCTACGTTCGGTTTTTTTATTGGGGTTTTTGTTTATTTGTGCTATTTTACTTTGTTTGTATTTGTTTTTCATTTACTTTGGTGATTCTAATAAATTACTCCTTTTCTTTTCGGATCTTATGTTTTTTCAGAGCAGTATGCTCTTCGCTTTAAACATGACTGCGGGATCGATGTGCAACAAGGCTTCGTTACGTGAAGCATAGACTTTCAGGTATAATGAATAGGTCTATGCAGCGCGCCCCTACTGTAAATTGAACTACAGTAGTTAAGGCCTTTGTGTATCATCCACACGACGCCTTTTTTGTTTCTCAAGCCAAATCCTGGGTTAAATAATTTTGTGAAAAAGTTTGTGAATTTTCAGATAATTACCCATTACAAATCGTGTCTTCCTCACACCTTCCTTTCCATCACAATTAAGAAATCTAATTGAAACAAGTTTAAGTTTATGTCCAGTGGCCGTAAATGTTACATAAAGGAGGGTAATGTATTATTTTCCTTTCTTGCGCATAAGTTGACATGTTGGTCGAGTTCGGGCACCGTGTTCTTGACACGGGTTTCTTGTTCTCGCGCTCAAACGACGGGAACACGACTCAAGAACACTGTTCTCGGAACAGGATCACACACCAACTCCTCGTCAGGGTTTTACAGAAACACACAGAAAAACTCGTGAGATTTTGATTTTTGAACAGCAGCAAAAAAAGAGAGATTGTATACAAAGTTGGAGACAATAGAAAGTTTTGCAAAATTAACATTAATTATTTTTCACAAGATAGAAGTGAATATTCTGTTTAAATAGGAAGAATTTAGCCCAGTTGTCCAAGCATTAACTCTCGAATAGTTTACTACAACATGGACGCTTGTCACAAACTAGGCCTACCAGCGATGACCAATTGTACGTGACCGGCGTTCGAGCGGCCGACCCAAGAACGACAAATCAAGCTGTTTGTGAGCATACGAGAACATGCCGCCCGAACTCAGCCAAAGCTTTATATGTCGGAACAACTTCACGAGGGCGCCATTTACATGTCCTGACCTGGAAAATCGTTGGTCATTAGATGGCGCCTCATATAGTTGTTGGTCTTGGCGCATCGATTAGGGCGCCCTTATTAAATTCTGTGGTTCTCATTTCTTTTACCACTTGAGATAAGATCTGTCGGTCGAAAAAAAGAAATTCTTAAAACCAAAATTCCGTGTTGCTGGTAAATCCCCTTGTACGAGTCCGGGTCAAGACAAGTGTAGGGCTATATGCACGAACCTCAGTGGGCAACGGAAAGGTGCGGTATACCGAATGGTCACGCGAACGCCGACCGTCGCTGTTGGTCATTTGCGAAGTCGTAAGTTTTCAGGGCTTTTGTTTTCAAAGGTCATGCTGGCCAATTTTTTACCCTTCGTGTTTTTTTGGGGGGTAGGCGTTTTTTAGCAGGGTCGGTGGGGAAAAAAAGCTTTTTTTTCGGTGATCGGGAGTCCAAAATAGGGTCGGTCGGAAATGAGAACCATAGAATATAAAATGGGTACCCTTATGATATGAACACAAATCCTTCATTCCTTTTCCTTGATCCTGGTCAAAAGTGTTGTAGATTTTTAGTTAAATAAAGAATTTAATTTTACTTTCATGTTCATTTACATAATTACGGCATAGTAGATGGAAGTCAATAAAATGAGTTGGTATTGATGTGAGAATTCAGCGAATATACATGTATAGGCCTATGTTCATGTAGTTTATTAGGCCCTCAGGGGTGGATCAACCTCTGGCTACTGATGGTGATCGATCTGTCCAACTGCATGCTACAAGCAACATATCTATGCCCAGTTACAGATCTTTCAAACTGACCTAAAGCCTACAAGTTTTGAATGATTGATGAAATATTCTTTAAATCAAAATTGTGGGATAAACATACTGCTCAACACCCCCCCAAAAAAATATAATATAATGATCTGCCTTATATAAGTCACCAGTATTCATTGCAGTTGCATATAAATAAATAAAGTGGAAATAATGTTATCATACAAACTTCCAATGAAATTATCATACATTGAAGATATCATTTGAAAATCCAGTGCTTACAATGATTCATTTATTCAGTGGCGCACCCATGTTTGTCGGAGGGGTCACTGGTCCCCCCCTCCCGGGTTTGCGCCACGGGGACTGGGATTATTGCGCGGTTACATCAGAGTTGTAGTTTAAGATATTGGTGGAGCACGATGTCTTTTTATTAGAAAGCAAAAATAAAAATGGAAACCGTGGGGGAATCATGTCCCCCAACCCCCTTCCCTCGGTGCACCACTGCACCCCCGAGGGGGTGGTGGTAAGTCACGGTGAATCTTTTTTCTGTGGGTATAATTTCGTAGTGAGAGCTGCTAGGTTGCTCTCTCGTGCTCAGAAGGCTCCCCTCACAACTCTGAAGACACTCGGCATTGGTCCAACAAAATCTAATCGCGGGAGGTGCGCATGCGGTGTCACTAACGTTTCCAGGTTCTTGTATTTATGGCATACTTATCTTACGAGATATTTATGAAGTGGTGTAGCCCCTGCCAGCAATATTGAAGTAGCCTCCATCCGGATGATGTATAGGCCCTATTCTAAAAAATATCATTTACGATCAAACTAACCAGTCGGTCGAGTTAATGTTGTGTCCTCATGAACTGATATATTAAGAGATGAATCATTGATGTTAATACATTTTCAGATCTACCGTCTTCATTTCGTGAGCTCACTTCCTGGAATTTACGTAGCCGGTTTGCGGGTCTTCACACGCCATGTCATTTTAATTACCGTTTCTGTCGCTGTGAACACCATGCAGTTGCACACGTGTGACACGCTATCATGTGTCGGGCATGTAAACGTTGTAATCTGGGTTTATATTTATTCCCATGTCGAAACATAAAGAGGGCCCCCTCGGCAATGAAAATGCAGAACGCACCTCGGCCGGCCAGGGGCTCTCTGCACGCTATACATGAGTGGACTCCCCGTCACTTACGTCCACTCCGACAGCAAATCGTTCACGGGCGGCCGCAGAAAGCAAGGTCAATCAACTGGAAATCGAATCAAAAGGCTTCGTCTCAGTCATCGCCTTCGGGCGGTGATTTCGTTTTTTAGCTTCAGTTCCTTAATTGTAAATGTAGTGTCTTCACTTTTTGTATGCGGTTCACAGTCTGCTCTGTGTATAAACTTCAAAGATCTGAGTTTTCACATTGGGGTGGCTGTTTGAAGACTAATTAGATGCCTTGTGAAATGGAGTAATTTCTTCCCTTCTCGTCATCTTTTGTGATATTCTTACATTCATCATCCTGCCGCTATCGAGTCATCCTCTCTCCAACTCCACTTCTTGTCTATGTGCCTATGTCAATGTTTGGTTGCAGCATCGTTTACTGTGTCTTACTCCTTTACAACTTCGCTGGTCCAATCGGCAACTATAGGTTGCGCATACTTGACCTCTGAACTTTAATATGCGTTGGCGAACATCGTTAATTTTTGTGACTCGAGTCCGTGCCGTTGAGTTATTGTAACGCAGTGACTCGATTCGACAGTCATGTTCTGGCATTTTTAGTTTTTACCCCTGGGAAAGTCACACCACATCTTACCTTTGACGCTAAAAACACATGACAGTTGTGACTTGAGTCATTATAACTCTACATCAAGCGCACTGAAACGTGCCCCATGAGGCGGAATGGAACTCCTGAATAAAATGTCAAATATAGCAAATTTGTATCCCATCACTTCACAGGTGCGCCGTCAGTTTTTTCTGCACGATATCGTCACTGAGCACAGTACATGTACATGTATAATTCGACGCTTGTGACAGCAAGCCTCTAAAAATCATGCAGTGCAATCACAGCAGACAGATTTCAATATCCCATCGGACTGCTGCTTCTGTTGTTGCAAAGTGTGAGCAGACGATGAGATGAAAAGGCGGGAAAATCCGAGTTATGTCCACAACAAAGTTTCGGTTTCCTTGAAAAAAATTATTTGCAGATGTTGCTCTCTTCGTTTGTTGACATGATGCAGATGCAACTTTAAAGGAGTTAATCCTCAACGACTTTCACTCGGCCTTCGATTGTAAGAGTCAATGATTTTCGTAAGAGCTCCACATGTGAATGCTAGTACTATCGCAATCAGCTTCTGGTATCGCGTCTCATGAAATTTAATGAGCACCGAGTCTCATCCAAGGGAAAATCTGGACTGACCCGAAGGTGTCTTTTTATCGCTTCGATGGGTAAAATTAAAGAGCTGCGGTTTTTGTTTCCGATTTCTGCGGCTTGAACTTGCGAGATGCCCGCCAGGGAAGTGAGCTTCATCTCGATACGTGTCACGACGGGCCACACTGCGCCGTACACATGAAGTAAAAGTCACAATTCGCTATGATTGCAAACCGCTGTTACTTTCATCTGAATAAGATAAAAGGAATTCTTTCCATTTTTTCAACCGTTCAACTTAAAACTGATGCAAGTGTATTTGTCTTCGTCTGTGTTTATCAATGGTCAGAATTATTCACTTTACTGGACTTGTGGAACTAAATTATTTGCCGATGCTTGTGAACTTATAATAAATATTGATATAGATAAGCGAATGTGAAAAAAACACAATGATACAATTAATCGCGACTGTCGGACAGACAACAGAATTTAACGCAACACCACTCGGGAGTGTGAATACACAGAGGTCCACAGCAGGGAAATAAACAACAGATAAAAGAAACAAAAGTACGCAAACACATAGGAAAAATGAAATCGCTAAGCATTGACAAACAATCGAACAAAAATATAAGCGAACAAACGAAGAAAGCCGAACGGAACATTTACGGACAAACGATGACCGGAAGATTTCGTCAATAAGTTTATATGGAGCTAGAACAAGCAAGGAAGTAAGAAGAGCTGTCTGCCTGAGTGGAATCTGGTTTCCAGAACAAAAGGTTCTGATGGGCAATATCGTTGGTCAAGTATCCGCCATTGTCAAGAGACCAAGCCAGGGAGATTGAAAATTATACATGATCCCGAAAATGCCCAATTTCTATTAGCAAAACTTATAAATATTGTCATTAATGTATGCGAAGATACGGTGTATATAAATTACCCTTCTCTCTGATTTCATCACGTCACACGACAAATTTCAACCCTTTTCTCGTTTTGGTACTTCCTGACACAACTGCGCAACTTTTAATGACTGTTTTCTGAAAATTCACGAATACGCATGCGCTGCATTCAAAAATAAACTGGCCTCTGACATTGTGTCATACTTTATTTAAAAAGCAAGGTTGAGTCAAGGTCTGACTCTTCACGATCATTGTGGAGCCCTCTCGGGCCGCCAGCCGTTCAAATGACACCTTCCGGCTACTGTGCTGTGTCGTTTTATTTCCAAGGATATTATGGGTATCAGCATTGGCACTCTCAACCTGTTCAAGTGTTCACCATTCATACCAGAAATTTTTTAATTCATTTTATACTGAGGAGACAAGACACAGGCACAGGATGTATCAAACCTCGGCCCTTTTCCAATACTCAACTTGGGCTCCGTCTCAGGCTTTGTTCCCAAAACCAATCCCCGATTGTGGGCCTGAAGCGTTTAAATTAAATTGGATTACTGTAATTTCTGGCTCTCTTGCATCTCATTTGATGTTTTGTGGCACTATTAGAGTAATTACTGCGCTTACAGCTTAAATGTCAGCTAGTTAAAAAAAAACAGTTGAAGCCTGAGACGGAGCCGAAGTTGAGTATTGGAAAATGGCCCTCGGCTGGCTCTCGGCATGCAGTTGTTCAGTTATTTCAAACCTGACGGGAGTATTCGAGTTTGGGTCTTACATCCCTTCAGCCGATCTCACATCCACATCTCACGCAAACGAGTATCTTTATTCAGCCGGAACGGGTTCAGCGCTGAACTCGAGGTTGGCACTGTGCACGCAATTATGAGCACGTGTCACAACAAAATGCCGAGCCCTGACCTTGCAGACACCAGTGACGACTGTACTGGGCCGTAAATCACGCACAAACTCCCTGACGCACAGCATTGGACGCTGCTGTTATCGCAAGGTAAATCCCTTCAAAACATGTAAAAGCCCAGAGTCAATTTATACAGTTTAGAAGTCAAGAGCTGGGTCGTTTTTGTCACACGACTTCCACCGTAAACATTTGACGAAGCAGAAACAGTCAACGACCTGGAGGCCTGCAGTTTCAACATGGCTAACGATCATCGAGGAATAGACAAAAAAATCCCAAAATGTTTCCTATGGCTGGACTATTATGCAGTTTCATAACTGAAAGCAAAAAAGAAATAAAAAAGAAGCACTTAACAATAGCCTACTTCTTCTTTGCTGTACGCTTCCTTGTTCAAACGGGGAAAAATCCCCTGTGTGCTTGGAATACACAGACCATGTTTACATGCTTTGATCTGGCTTAACTCTATGGTATGCTTGATAAGATATCATTTCTAAAGGAAGACTACCGAGGTATGTGGCATAACCGCCGTCCTGTAATCCCCCACCCAAACTCGCTTAGACCCCCCTCCCAAACTCCAAACTTGGAGGGGCCGGTTTATTTTCTACAATTTCTTGGCGTCCTCTTGACGACGGCGCAGCGAGAAGCTCAACAGCCCATCACTGTCGTCAGTGACGATGGTAGCAGTATTAAAGGGGGTCGGAGGGGTTCAGTAGTTGCTTGTCAAACAGTGTAGCCGTGCAAACGCTCCAGTCGATGCCGTTCAATCAAGTCTTTTCCGCAATCGACGTCGAAAAGGCGGACAGACTGAGAAATTCAAGAAGGTAACGATTTCTTAGTTCTTGCTTTCAGGAAATTCTCGGGTTGCCTCGCACAGCTACAGTGCAGCGTTGAATTGTACTTCTGAACCACACATTTGAATTTATATGCTGAATCAACATTGATTCCTCCGGCGAAAAAAAATGCCAGAACACTGAGAATAATACATCGGTCAACTGAAACCAACACGAATATCGACCGAATGGCCGTTACATGTACCTTATCAGATAGCTTGAAACCCCGCCTCACTATCCTGGGATATGTGTATCATATTGTACAATGTATTTATACATGTATATGCCCAGTACTACGGACGAATGATAATGCAGGCTAGGGATTGGGCTGATCCCATGATTGACAACACTACGTAAGGGGCAGAACGGACCACTGCGGTCAACACTTTGTGAATGAAACTGCTCCACGCGACCAGTGTGCGTGGAGCGCTGCTACCTGCATGTCTCAGTGCGTACTCACTCCCAAGAGTTATTTGAAGAGGTTACCGGCGGACGCCAACTGTGGTACGGTCGTTTCCCAGCTTGTGGAGTAACTTGCCTTGGGATTGATTTGATGCACGTGGTAAATAGCAAAAAAGTGTCCCCCACACACGGGTCACTTCGTATAAAACGAGATAGCACCTGGGTGAGTTTCTCAGATGATCAGTCGAGGAGGATCTCGGTGCGACTCACGGATGGTAAAATTGTAAGCCCCCATCTGATTTTCTGGGCTTAGAGAACACTTTTTTCGTGTGAACCTGAGCCTGTCTGCGTTCAGGGCTATTGTAGTCCACACCGTCGTCACGGCACAGGTACATGTACATGTACGTCACGAGTGGAGCGCGTCATTACCGTGTCCCGGTGGTACAACATACCTCGAGAACCACGTGCATGAATGAAAGAGATAGGGCTCCCTGTGCCCCATTAACTCAAGTTGCAGGCGGAGTGCGGTGGGCTTACACGATATCCTGACACACCGGCGACCTCTACTATTGACTGACGCCACGCGGTCGTGCGTTGAAGCCTTGTTGGAGACTCACCGCGAGTCAGCGGAGCCGTGCGCGCACTGTATAGCTACGCCCCTGGCTCGTCTACTGAGGTGTTTCCCTTGACACCTCAGACAATTCAGCTAGGAAAAAGATAGGACAAGTATGACAACACTGCTGGTCTAACTGTTCACCTAGGGAAAAAATTAGTGGGACCAAGCCCTTTTCTACCAACTCTGGTGGATGACAAACTGGCTTGTAGATTTGTTTTGACATGTGAGGTGTACCACCGTCGTTATTTACCAAGGCACGTGCAGCAGGTTGAGTGTACGTGGTTGAGCCCTGATCTAAATATGCCCATTCCGACTTGTGACGTGTGAACTGTTTCATGGTTGTGACGTGTGGGAATTGACAGGAAAAGCCCCCCAAAATGATGCGAAGAAGAGAGAGATTGAACAGCCGTGAACTTGCTTCTCTCGCCCAACTTGTTCTGTTTTTGTGGTGGACCGTCAACGAGGCTTGCGGACAGCTTATCGGTAAGTACAGTCATGAGTCTTATTTTAAAACCGTTATCAGGTCGTAATTAATCATCGGCATTGATTTCCTGAATTGTTGTTTCGATTCTTACAGACACGACGAGACGGGCTGAAGAAAAAACCGTTCCGCTGTGTTTGTTTCATGTAAAACTTCCGTGTTTTCTTTCTAGCCCTAGGTTTGATATATGTATTTAAATGACATAAGCATAACTGTTATGAGCAGTGATGAGGCCACGACGGAACTATTAAATAATGTAGTGTAATTGCTGCTGATGACAATAAAACAGTTTTGCGCATAACATATCAGCCTGCAAAATAATCATGTTGGCCACTTTCTTCATGGGTGGGCCATTTTTTCTTCTTGTGTACATCCTGCACCCAGTTTTTTCCACTTATTTCCCGGCAGCATCATTCAACATACAAAACAGTCATTACCTCTTCCGAAGCAACTTAGAAAATAAGTCCATTTGCCAGCCAGAGCTGATATGATTCACCTGATCCATAAAAAAGACTTTGTGGAAGTTTATCACAATCCACAAACTTGATTACCAAACTCCGGTGTGTGTGCGTGTACACAACAGAACGCGCCGCCGAGAGCCGGAGAATAAAGGGGAGAAACAGTGCGTTGTGCGACACCACCAGGGTGACGAGTCTGTACTTCAGTTTGGTGACAGTTATCTGCCTCCTAATCATCGACTATTGTCGGGCTGTCCAGGCCGTAGCGCCTCTGCGCCGGGTACCGCGTCGTGACTTGTCAATTAAAGGCACATTTTCACCCGGTTTACGACAAGCTGGCGAGGCCAGCATGTCTGGCCTGGTTCACAACGCAGAGCGCCAGCCCCCCGCCCCTCGACTGACCCACTCTGTCTCCGTCGTTATTGCTAATCAGATTGGACGTTTTTATGGAGTGGTGATAAATTTTTCAATTGTCGGCTGCCATCAGTTTTCCGCCAGTACCTCTGGTCCCATTTTTGCCAATAACGGCCCTAGGCATGAATTGTAGCCATTCTTATAAGAGAAACGATAGCCTTAACCAAACACAATTATTTACGACCGGTGTTCGTGATAATCATTGGAAGCAGTTCTTACAAGAAACTAACTAAATTTATTTACGTAACTCGCGACAGTAATTATGCATTGAAAGCAGCATGACTTGCTTTAACGTGCAATGTTCTAATATCCAAGCGCAAAATTCACGATTTCCTTCTTGCATGTGTCAGGTATCTCCTTTAACCGTGTCGGTGCGAATATTATACATGCGTTTGCTCTGTAAGTGTAGCGCCACGCAGGGCCGATCGCATGGCCGGGGAGTAAAGGCAATGCAAACAAGGGGTCATATCACCCCCGTGTTTGATCACAACGAGGAACAGTGTATTCGGTTTGTTCACTGAAGTAGCCAGCTCTTCATCGGCGGGCAACGGTCAATTCCTTTCTCGAGATCTGATTTGATCTCGGTAGTATACACGAACGTGCGCGGCTCCTCCATCTAGCGAGGACGACATCGTGTCGCTCATGTATTTCCTATCGACGATTGTTCACTTTTAGACGGTCATTTTTTTCTGCTTTGTGTGTTCGCGATAAGCCCAAATGACTGAACAACTTTACTTTCCAGGGTCCGTGTTTGTTTAGAGTAAATTAAGGATATTTTGGAAGGTGTGTGACCCGAATAAGCTTCATTTAATTATCCCCATTTTCCGGAACAGAAGGCGATCATTGACAGTCCCTTGTTGCACTTGCAACATTGGCCAAGGCTTGCTTTGTTAAATTAATACAGTAAGTTAGAGTAAGGGGACGCAATTGTTTTGTCTACAGCCAGATTTATGTCCAGTGAATTTAAAGTGCATGCGTCGGTTGCCGGACTATTCTTTCTTGAACAAAATAATTCTCCTGCACAGAGTGTTGTTTACCGACTACAAAAGGTAGAAAATTCCTATCTCTGAGAATGGTATGAAAACGAAAACTCGCCAAAGGGGGACCCTGCTCGTCTGCGTCAAACTAGCTTAATAATAAACGCTGTTCTGTGACGATCCCATGAAGCCAGCGGAACACATTTTGTCGCGAATTCAACACCTTCCATGACCACCCAGCGCAGTTCAATGTGATATGCTACGTCAATCACATCACGTTTTCAAGTATGCGCAAGTATGGCCATCATGGCTTCCAATCGGAAATAGTTCGGGACATTTGTGGTGAGCAGAACGTGCCTCTGGGTCAGTGCACGCACGGAGGAAGAAAACACGTGCCTTTGGAAAACTCCTCGCATGTCTGCACAGTAACTGTTTCATATCTATCCTGCTTATCCCCACTGCGTTACTGAAGGATGTGTGGCCAATTGCTTTCCCGCCGTTGGTTGAACCATAGAGATAGGACTCCGGATCTTGTAGTCTCGGTGTTCTTATTACTTGGGACAACGCAAAGTCGCTCAAAAGTCTGGCACCCAGAACGCTTTACCGTCTATTACCCAGGAAACGCTGTTGATAATGCCTGATTGTAATGGGGGTCTAAAACTGCAGGTTTTTTTTCATTCCGGGCTGGGAGGGGGGGTGTTGGACCTCAATATTAAGTGGTTCTCTTGTTCTTTACAAAAGGGAGTCACACAGTTGCGCACGTTTTGTTTGCACGGTGGCTGGGATTAGCCTGCGACGATACCGTATTCACGTCCTAACCGGAATTAGTTGAAAAGGCTTCATGCTGTCGCGGACTTTCTACCACCTATAGTGTTGAGAAAAAGCGGGTCGATGTGGTAAAAGAGGTCCTTAGTATTAAATAGCAAGCACGTGTTAATAGCCTCAGAATCAACACGCTCGGGCGTTCAAACAGATGAGAATCTTTTTTTTTTATTAGCACTTTGCCAAGACTAGGCAGATTTCTTTTTAAGCTGACCACAAATTTAACACATTGCCTAATTAGCATTACTTGTATTTGTTAACATTATGCCAACCGTTAATTGATCCTGCTTCCTGTTATTCAAGTGAATGTTGTATACACTGCATAGGCTATCCATATGTATTGGACCTTGCCTTGCTTTACTATTAGTGTAATAGTAACTTCAACTAACCATCGAGGAACTTGGTCTTTGCTACAACCATGTTTACAGCCTCTGCTTGACTCAAAATACGCGATAACACATTCAAGAGGAACTTGAATCTGAAGAGTATCATGAGGATCCTCAGCCGTAGCCATTATTGCTTTACGTCTCATTCTCATTCCGCACTGTACATGAGCATTACTAAGGGGTTGATTCGAGCCGTGCTCATCAAGAGAATGATGTAACTGTGCTGCTTGAAAAATTCAATTTGGAAAGGGGTCCCTATTAGTCGAATGAGGCTGCATTGAGAAGGTATGATTTCGTTTATGTCAAGTGCAGAGAAGGTAGCCGGTCGATAGTTGCCTAATGCCATTCCGGCATTTGCTCCCTGACAAGTGTGGACAAATGTTTCATGGAACATTGACCTTGGTGCCTGTGACTGATTTATAATACACTTGAGTCATCAATTCCACTCTCATCCTACCGAGGAAGGGGATATATTTATTATTTCGCTTTCGACCATTACGAGTTATTTGTTTTCCCTCAGCGGTAAATGCTCAGAAGAGTCATTCTTGATGGAACTTTAAGAGACCAAAAGTCTTCTAGTCGAAAAACAGAAGGTCAGGGTGTTTTAAATTATTTATGTCAACGGAACCTTTATCACGCGAGGAACACGTGTCACTGACTCCCGTGCTAGAAGAAGATTTCTCAACATCGACAAGTTAATCCATGGATGCGTCGCTTGCTAAGCATCCTGAATTTAGCAGTTTAACCTGAACTGTACGATTGTAACATCGCATGCCTTGAATACCGAACAGGTGATGGTCAGAATACAAGTGTGCCAGTTTTCCCAATCCTCCTATGGTCGTCCGTTGTCCCTGAGCAGTGTTGCGCCTGAAATCGGTTTTCAACTTTACACTTGTACCTCCACACAAACCGTTACCGACCTGTAGAAAGCCACGCCATTTTTGTCATTTTACCTTTTATTTTTTTTTAACCATACTCCTGTACTTTGAGGAGCTGTTTCATGGTCCCACACGCGAGCTTATGGTATTCTCTGTGAAACGTGCAAATATGTGTGGCGCAACGCGAGTCGATGCTGATCAACTGACTTGTACAAGTCTATTTCGATGCGCTTCTTGACGACGTTCGTTGCTCTGCCAGGCATAGAGCCAGCGCTATGCTCTTAAGTCTATGGTGCCAGTTGTGTGTACCGCACCTCCTCAGTGTCTCATCTCTTTGAGGAAATATTTTCGACAGTTTTGTTCATGGGAACGTTGTTACTTTTTAAAATTTCTGTTTAGCTTAGAATGGGTTTAGCAAAGCCTGCTGAGATTTTTGGTTTTGTTTAGTTTTTGTCGTGGCGTTCATCGACAGTAGTATCTTCACATCAGATTGGAGTATTTGTGTTTTGAAAGTCTGTCTTTGTTGATCAGTCAAGGGCAAGGGATATTTTCGGTCAAATTAAATCAATTCATATCAAACTTCAAGTCTTTCAGCAACGTTTGGGATGCGTTGTCATTTTTTATATTATTATTAGTTTAATGGTGCATTGATATCGTGTGTGAATTGATCTGAAAAATAGTCCCCTTCCTCTGTTTACTTATTAATCCACCTGGGTTGAATACGAAGTATACATTCTGTATCCTGTGGCAAAGTCTGCCCACTCGGGTCGATGGTTCCATCCTGGCGTCATCACAAGCCGGTTTTGTCGACAACTTGAGTAGAGCCAGGTTTCGCCCTATGGCCTGGCCCTGCCGCGTCTGGGCAGCGGAACGACACTAGCAGTTCCAGACCGTGCGGCGTGGCGGCGGCCTGCGCGGTACCACCGGCCATGCGTCAACAATCCGGGTGGCGGGCACCGATTGGATGTGACAGCAGTTGACCTAATCAGCTTTCTTGGGATCACGATGGAGATTCTAGCGCCATGAACCAAGCTTTTTTTTTCAGAACAAACCGGGCTGGGTTTTGG